AATGAATAATTGGTTGGTTGGCTTGTAACCACCAAATTTGTAATAAAGGCTTCATATAAAGCCAAATTATGCATGGAAAAAGTAATACACGAATTTTAATCAAAGAACCATTATTTTCACCTTGAATTATTGTTATAATTCTCAAATTATCTTGTTGGGACGTGTTCTTGACTTGATACGAACTCAATCCAATAGGTCTTGGATTGTTTTCATCGGTATACAACTTAATAGGTCTTGAGTTGTTACTATACTAATCTATCTATTTCTTTCCATTCACATATCATTTGTGGTTTCTATTCTCTCTTAATTTACCTAAACACTACCCTACTCACTAAATCAAGCCCATACACGCATCATAAGTGGTATCAGAGCCCAGTTTCGATTGGGTGTTGTTGTGTTCTTATTTAACAAAAATCCCTGCTAAGTTTGTTTGATTTCACTTCCTGTTCAGAATTTGTTGTCCAAAAATGTTGCGCAAGTTATATGATGAAGAAGACATTAAGGAGGAAGAGGAAATTGAAGAAGAGGAGGAAGAAGATTTCGGTCCCTTCTACGACACCGATGGGGAAGGGGAATTTGTTGAAAGAATTAATTTAGTGACTGGAGAAGAAATTGTTGAACACTCTAACCCTTTCTATGCCACTGATGGGGAAGACGACCATGAAGAAATTGAAGAAGAAATAAATTTCGTGGTGGGAAACAAAATTGTTGAAACAACTGTGAAAGAAATCGTTTTTATTGTTACAAACAAAATTGTTGAAGAAAAGGTTGAAGAATCCATGGAGGTGGAGCAAGTTCTTGACAAAGGTGATGTTATCTACATGCTTGTGGCCAAAGAGCATGCAAAGGTGGAGAAGATGGTGCATGGAGAAAACACTATTGCTGATTTGCTTTTGGAGTTTCAAGATGTGTTTCCAAGCGAATTACCACCGGGTTTGCCTCCAATCCGTGGTATCGAACACCAAATTGACCTTATTCCGGGTGCTCCTTTGCCCAATAAAGCTGCCTATAGATGTAATCCGGAGGTGACAAAAGAGTTGCAAAAACAAATTGATGAACTCATGAAAATGGGTTATGTTCGTGAAAGCCTAAGTCCTTGTGCTGTTCCAGTTTTGTTGGTTCCAAAAAAAGATGGTTCTTGGAGGATGTGTGTTGATAGTAGGGCCGTTAATAACATCACCATAAAATACCGATTTCCTATTCCTAGAGTTGATGATTTGTTGGATGAGTTGCATGGTTCTATTGTGTTCTCAAAAATTGATTTGAGAAGTGGTTACCATCAAATTTGTATGCGTGAAGGGGATGAATGGAAAACAGCCTTTAAAACTAAACATGGCTTGTATGAATGGACCGTAATGCCTTTCGGTCTAACTAACGCACCTAGCACTTTCATGCGACTAATGAATGAAGTGCTAAAATCTTTTTTGGGCAGGTTTGTGGTTGTGTACCTTGATGATATCTTGGTATATAGCAAGAGCTTGGAGGATCATTTGGTGCACTTAAAACAGGTTTTCAAGACGCTTAGAGCTCAAAAACTCTATGGAAAGCAAGAAAAATGTTCGTTTTTAGTGGAAGAAGTGGCATTTTTGGGTTTTGTGGTTTCAAAAAATGGCGTGTCCGTAGACCCATCCAAGACTGAAGCAATCAAGTCATGGCCTATTCCTACTAATATTTCTGAAGTTAGATCATTTCATGGTCTTGCTTCTTTCTATAGAAGATTTGTTCGTGATTTTAGCACCATTGCAAGTCCCATAACAGGTTGTTTGAAGAAAGGAGTCTTTGCATGGGGAGAAGAAGCTCAAAAGGCATTTGAGAAACTCAAGGCATTGTTGTGTGATGCTCCTATTTTGGCTCTTCCTGATTTTTCTCAACCATTTGAAGTGGAGTGTGATGCAAGTGGAGTTGGTATTGGGGCTGTTTTGATCCAATCCAAACGTCCTATTGCTTATTTTTCTGAAAAGTTGGGTGGTGCTCGTTTGAATTATTGCACTTATGATAAGGAGTTTTATGCTATTGTTCGTGCTTTAGATCATTGGAGTCATTATTTGCGTGCAAATCATTTTATTTTGCATTCTGATCATGAATCCTTGAAGTACATCAATGGGCAACAAAAGTTGAGCACAAGACATGCAAAGTGGGTGGAGTTCTTGCAATCCTTTCATTTCTCATGCAAATACAAGGATGGTAAAAGCAATGTGGTGGCTGATGCACTCTCGAGGCGTTACTCATTGTTGGTGACTTTGGATGTTCGTTTCTTGGGATTTGAAACTCTAAAGGACCATTATCAATCTGATATGGACTTTGGAGATATGTTTTTGAAATGTGCAGGTGGTCCTAATGGTGAATTTGTAATTCAAGATGGCTTTCTATTCAAAGGCAATCGCCTTTGTGTCCCAAAACATGCAATACGGGAGTTGTTGATTCGTGAAGCTCATGGCGGTGGTTTGGCTGGTCATTTTGGCATTACCAAAACTTTGCAGGTGCTTAAAGAACATTTCTTTTGGCCGAAGATGTTGGGGGATGTAACCAACATAGTGGGCAAGTGTGTTACATGTCATATGGCGAAAACAACTTTCAAGCATGGTGTTTACACTCCTTTGCCGGTTCCTATTTGTCCTTGGGAAGATGTGTCCATGGATTTCATTATGGCTTTGCCTAGAACTCAAAGGGGGAAGGATTCCATTATGGTGGTGGTGGATAGGTTTTCAAAAATGGCTCACTTTGTGCCATGTCATAAAACCAATGATGCATCTAATGTGGCTGATTTGTATTTTAAAGAGGTGGTTCGTTTGCATGGTATTCCTAAAACAATTGTTTCTGATAGGGATTCCAAATTTCTAAGTTACTTTTGGAACACTTTATGGAGGAAAGTGGGTACTAAGTTACTTTTTAGTACATCCCATCATCCACAAACGGATGGGCAAACGGAGGTTACTAATAGAACTTTGGGTGCTTTGTTGAGAGGGTTGGTTAGCAAAACTCAAAAAGATTGGGACATCAAACTTGCACATGCTGAATTTGCCTATAATCGTTCTCCTACTTATGCTACAGGTCACTCTCCTTTTGAGGTGGTGTATGGTGTGAATCCTTACATGCCTTTGGATTTGATTCCATTACCAAAGGATGAATTGGTTCACAAGGATGCTAATGACAAGTTGAAGGCCATGATGAAACTACACCAACAAGTTCGTGAGAAGATTGAAGCTGTGAATGAGATGTACAAACAGAAGTCAAACAAGCATAGGAAACCACGTGTCTTTCAAGATGGTGACTTGGTGTGGGTGTATATGAGGAAAGAACGTTTTCCTAACAAAAGAAAAAACAAGTTGATGCCAAGAGCTGAAGGTCCTTACAGAGTGGTGTCACGTGTCAATGATAATGCTTATAAGGTAGATTTGGGAGGAGACCATGGAGTGCATGCTACCTTTAATGTGGGAGATCTTTCACCTTATCTTGATGATGATGGACTTGATGAATTGAGGTCAATTCCTTTCAAAGGGGGAAGGGATGATCCATGCATGGATCATGAAAGCCCAAAATGTGATGGATTAGTGATTACTAGTGGGCTAGAAGGTGGTTTGGGCTCAATGGTTGGGTTGTGCATGGTAACCCACAAATTCAATTAAGGTTGCATGAAGACTAGGGCAACATTTTTAAGGCTTCATAAGTGCTAAAAACGTTACTATTTGCTTCATAAAGCCTCCTAGCCGTTTTTGACACTCTTTGGTGGATTAGGGTTACACTTTAATGCTTATAATGACTCCTTAATGCTTCTTATGGCTCCTTAAGCAAGCATAGCCGTTTTTTTTTCATTCACAAGTCTCATGGACGTTTTTTTTTGTGTTCTTTCAAGAGTTACCTTAATTTCTATTTACTAGTTTTAATGAATAATTGGTTGGTTGGCTTGTAACCACCAAATTTGTAATAAAGGCTTCATATAAAGCCAAATTATGCATGGAAAAAGTAATACACGAATTTTAATCAAAGAACCATTATTTTCACCTTGAATTATTGTTATAATTCTCAAATTATCTTGTTGGGACGTGTTCTTGACTTGATACGAACTCAATCCAATAGGTCTTGGATTGTTTTCATCGGTATACAACTTAATAGGTCTTGAGTTGTTACTATACTAATCTATCTATTTCTTTCCATTCACATATCATTTGTGGTTGCTATTCTCTCTTAATTTACCTAAACACTACCCTACTCACTAAATCAAGCCCATACACGCATCACCTTCCATGACATTAGGTCATGAAAACAAATAGTTTTTATAGAATATGACCTTTTCTTTACTCCAAGTTGATGTCTTCTTTCAAATGAAGGATATCTCAAGATAACATTACCCTTCTTAAAATCAGTTTTATCCATACCGAAAGTATCATCACTTAACTCTTCTTTTTTCAAACTAACCATTTGCTTTGGCTTAGCAGCTCTCATGTCATCAATCTCACTCTCCTTTTGATCCATAGAAGTATGAATCAATACTTGCATTATTTTGGACAAACCACCATAGAAACTAAGCACAACATCCTCGTGTCCCTCTACATACCCATTCACAAGTTTGTAATCTTCCACAACATTCTTTTTCCAAAGTTGATCATGATTGATGCGCCACATGGCCTTGGGTTTTGAATTCCACCCATGTGTAATTACTTTTAGATGGATAGCTGATACGAGATCCTCTTTTGACCACGCCAAGATCCATGCTTCAAACCCCCCTGTTTTATGTTTTAACACTTGTGGAAAGTGCAAATCATGGACATAAGAATCTTCATGAGATATGGTATTGCATAAAAGAATCATCCCACGATCAATGTTCTTGAACTTGAAAAGATAAAAGAAATTTGGCCATATTAACGTAGGAGAAGCAACCATGATTTTTTCATTCATTGCAAACAACATTGTAGTGTCTCTCCTCCATATACACATGCTCTTCTTCAAATTACTCAAAGACCTCGTTGAATTCAATCCTAACCATATCTTCCATTTGTGGATCAAAACCACTTTTGTACACTCCCATGAACAAGATTAGGACCTAGTAAATTACCCTTGTAATAATTTAAAGGATTGACAATGGTCATATGAAATAATGGATCATGGTTTATACATATGGGTTGATAAACAACATGTTCCAATAACATGGCTTCCCAACTAAAGGTACACCAAAAGAATAGGAATCCAAGCATTATCAACTCCCTCCCTCGTAACTCCTTAGAACTTGGAACTTGATGGGTTACTCCTTCTTCTAGGCTCTTAGAAAGAGAGTTTGTTATAAGATAGGTATCATCCTTCTTAACCACAACCACATTTTCATGGTCAAGAACCTGCTCCACCTCTTCAGATTCTTCAACCTTTTCTTCACCAATTTTGTTTGTAACAACAAAATCGTTTTCTTTCAAAAACGTTTCAACAATTTCGTTTCCAAGCACAAAATTTATTTCTTCTTCAATTTCTTCATGATCCTCTTCCTCATCAGTGGCATAGAAAGGGTTAGAGTGTTCAACAGTTTCTTCTCCAGTCACTAAATTGACTCTTTCAACAAATTCCCCTTCACCATCGGTGTCGTAGAAGGGACCAAAATCTTCTTCCTCCTCTTCTTCAATTTCCTCTTCCTCCTTAATGTCTTCTTCATCATATAACTTGCGCAACATTTTTGGACAACAACTTCTGAACAGGAAGTGAAATCAAACAAACTTAGCAGAGATTTTTGTTAAACAAGAACACAACAACACCCAACCGAAACTGGGCTCTGATACCACTTATGATACGTGTATGGGCTTGATTTGATGAGTAAGGTAGTGTTTAGGTAAATTAAGAGAGAATAACAACTACAAATGATATGTGATTGGAAAGAAATGGATAGATTAGTAACAACTCAAGACCTATTAAGTTGTATACCGGTGAAAACAATCCAAGACCTATTGGATTGACTGATAGTCAAGAACACGTCCTAACAAGATAATTTGTGAATTATAACAATAATTCCAATTGAACAAAGGTTTTTTTCTTAAAAATTCGTCTATTCCTTTCCCATGCATAAACTTGGCTTATATGAAGCCTTTATTACAAACATGGTGGTTACAATCCAACCAACCAATTATTCATTAAAACTAGTAAATGAAATTTAAGGAAACTCTTTAAATAACACAAAAAAAACGTCTACCACACTTAAAAATGACAAAAAAAACGTCCATGTCTTCAATTAGTCTTCAATTGCTAGTAATTGGTTATGAGAAGATGTAGAGTGTAACTCCCAAGGATTAAAGAGAACCATCAATGATAAGAGTGTAACTCCCAAAGTTTAAAGAGATCCATCAATGATAATAGTGTAGCTCCCAAAGTTTAAAGAGAGCCATCAATGATACCCTTCCAAATGCTTCCATAATCACCCTAGCTTTGAATCCATCAATAAATGAAGTCTTGGATTTATTAAACTTTTATTAATTTAATTATGAAAACCCTAATCCATCAACTATGTCACCATGCATACCTCATAGGCCATTAACCCCAAACAATTTTCTAGCCCAATATTAAGCTACCCATAACCTTTTGGGCCTTCATTGTCCATACACGGGTAGAATGGGTTTTTCGGCGATGAATAACTTCGGGTGTTACATTATCCCCCCGTTAGAGGGAATTTCATCCCGAAATTCAAATATTAAGATACAGATTATGAAATGAAAAGAGATGCAGATGGATCAACTGCTCCTGGTTTTCACGCTCCCAAGTGGCATTGGGTCTCCGCTTGACGTTCCAGCGAACCCTCACTTATCGGGACGTGTCTTGGTTTCGTTGGGTAGATACTTCTTAAGGACCGAGACATGAAGTATCATAGGAATGTTACTAAGTTACAGGTTTGCCTTGCTTATCTACCTAATCAAGGAAAAATGGTATAACCGAAGGGCATCACTACGAACTCGTGGTGATCAGGTCCTGGTCGCTGTATTAGATATATCATCCTCCCGAAGGTTCGGTTATGAGGCAGTTCTAAGAATTAGGTTAATACAAGGCTTGACTAGCCGTTCAGAAGGAATTCTCGAGGCTTCTTGGAAAAGGCATTGGGGAAAGAGCTGTAGACTTCCCGTTTTCTGAATATCACAAGAACGGGGAATGTATGGGAAACTTTCTAAGCTTTGATGCGCGAAGATGCGAAGGTTGGATTTAGGGTTGATGCCGAAGATCATGAGAGTCGGGTCAGAGAAAAGATTCGGATGGACGACCCTTTCGAAGACAAGAATAACCACATGAATGAAACTAAGTCATTCTATGCCAAGTTTGCATCAAAGCTTTCCATGAAAGGTTTACCTTTAGATCAAATAGAAAGGGATAATCATTCGACTTGAGGATACGATCTAATGGTATGGCGTTAATGTTCTCTTTCTCACTGGTTGGTCACCTCGACTGTGCACGTTCCGATCACTAACGAAGGATTTACTTTAGAAAGATGTTTGAATGAATGACTAGCAAATTCTTACGGCATTAGAATCGAAAAGGATTACGGGCACAAGATTTATCGAGGAGAAATATACCTGTGCCAACGATGGGGTCGGCGAATGTTCTTTCCTGTCCCAAAGTTAGGACTCTCCCGGTGTTGCCAGATGCTAATGTCTTTGGACAGTTTCGCTTATAGTGCCCAACATCTCCACAGCTGTAACAGGTTTGACCGATACCAGCTCCAAAAGCTTCACTAGTTGATGGAGTTGGGGTTTTGCAGGTTCGTGCGATGTGACCTTCCTGGCCACAACTTCTACATAACTTTGCACGACAAGGGCCAGGGTGCGATGGTGGTAGTTACATCGGTCACACCACGGGAGGGTACCGACATATCCGGTAACAGGTACTTGAGATGTGGAATTGACAACAGAAACAGCAGCAGGAATAGTGGCAGCGTGGACTGCCACTATTTGCTGTTTCTTTGAGGGTTCTGGGGAAGACTGACTCTTCTTCTTCTTTTTCCAAAACTTTCTTTTCTCGCCACTCTTTTCTGTTGACTCGGGAGTGGTGTCTGCTTCTTCTTGGTCATCATTGTGATCGATCAAAGTTTGTGCCAGACACTTGGCACTGTCATAGGTATCTGGCTTTGCTGCAATAACATTCCCTTTGGTCGGTTGAGTTAATCCCCAGATGAACCTTTCTACCTTCTTGCTTTCCGGGGTAACCATTCCCGGACAAAGAAGTGCCAAGTCATCGAACCTTGAAGTGTAAGAGGTGATATCGGAACCTTTCATCATCAGGTTCCATAGCTCATGTTCTAGTTTGTGGATTTCACCCCGAGGGAAATACTCCGCACGTAGTAGTTCCTTCATAACTTCCCATCCCATAGCATTGGCTATAGGTAAAGTTAGGGATTTGATCGTTCCACCAAGTCAAGGCCTTATCGGTGAGCATACAGGCGGCTAATTTCACCTTATCAGATTCCAAACAGGCGCAAATCTTGAAGATAGATTCGATTTTCTCTAACCACCGAGTTAGAGCAATAACACCCCCTGTGCCATCGAAGAAGGTCAGTTTTGCGTTCATGAAGTCTTTATAGGAACACTCCTTCCGGTATCCCTGAATACCTTATGGATTTTGGTTTTGGGAACCACCTCCTGGACCATTGGGGTTTAGTTGATGCAGGAGAGTTGATAAAGTGGCAGAAATGGTTGCCTGAAGTGTTTCTAGATCGATTTGTACAGGAGGTGGTGGCGGCGGAGGGTTTTTGGTGTTCTTCGAGTTAGGTCTTTTCCTTGGAGGCATCTTGATCTAAAAAGATCAGGAAAGAGAGGATCATAAGTCCTCTGAATTGACTCAAGATATATGGATCAGGGGATATCTCATCAAGACAGATATAACATTATATTAACGATAAGGCAGGAAAGAGTTATCAAGGCAGAAAATTTTATCACTAGAGGAATGACCAAGGAACAACGCGTATACGAGGACTTCTACAAAGGATCGGCTCGAGAAATACTCCCATAGTATTTCATTGTTCTCTGCAGCAACGACTCGTTGTTTGGGTATTGGGTAAATTTTAGGCGTGTTGCGTACCACAGTCACTCCCAAGCATATGTTGGCCGTGTCTCGAATGAATATAGTTGGCCAGGCTATATTGATCCTAGACACGACTACATAACTGCCCAAGTTTAACCGCAGTGTATAACACCCATTCACTTATATTTTGTTCTACTTGCAGTTACGGATTTCGATGGTCGATATAATGGTATACTTTAGAAAATACTTATATTTGTAGAGTATACTTTTAGTTCTGAGCACTTAGGGCCCTTAATGTTTATAGTCTTATACCATGTAACCTTCGGTATACTAGTTCACTATAAACAAGGGCTCTGATACCAATCTATCACACCCCGAAAACCAAAGGCGGAAACATTTCCGGGGCGGACTCCACGTTAAGTATCAAATCCAATGCACATAGTAAATCAGTAATCACAAAACATTATATTACATAATATTGTTTACATCTGTTTGCAAGTAAAGTTGTACAAGTATTTTATACATATATGATATGAACAAAAGTAAAGACGAGTCTTCGGGACGCTCCGTCTTCTCCAAAAGGTTGCGATGTACCTTTCTAACGCTGACCTGAGAATACAAGCAGTTTGAAAATCAGCATAAAGCTGGTGAGTTCATAAGCGGTTTAGGTTTGAAAAGAACGAGTTTCCTTTGCTATCTGAAAAGTTGTTGATCAAGAAAATCCCATATTTTCTTATGAAAACGGTTTGGTTATCCTTTGTTACAATTTCGAAAACGGTTGGTTATATCATTCCAGGAAAATCCCATATTTTCCTTATAGTTTTAGTTATTCGTTTGTTACTTTATCCGTTTATGTGTTGTTGTACTATCCAGGAAAATCCCATATTTTCCTATGTATTGAGTTGTCTATTTGTATCTAGATTCGTTACTGATTGTTATGCTATCCCAGGAAAATCCCATATTTTCCTATATGTTGAGTTGTTTATTCGTTTCTAAGTTCGTTACTAGCTGTTATGTTAACCCAGGAAAATCCCATATTTTCCTATGTGTGGTGGTTGGCTCTTAGGTCTGATTTCGAAGTACTAGTAATTAACATGTGAGTAGTATTAGTTACGTGTTCTAAACCCTTAGTTATTCTACATTCGAATGACCATTATCTACTAACTTAGTTGTATTTTCGAATTTTCGAATATTTGAAGTTCTGCTGATTCCAAAAGAGTACATTATTTGTATATTCGAAGCTCTGTCGACATTCTGAGGCGGATATATTTTTTAACTCAGTAGAGGTCCAGAGGCGTATTTTCGCATTTATTTCGAAACTCTGGTGACACTCAAGGGGTACACTAAGGTGCTGTTTGTTTTTTCTGAGGCAAAATGTCTGCAGTCTGCGGACCACATCTGTAGACCTCTGCAGTAGAAGAGGTGGACCAAACGTCTGCAGTCTGAAAAAAGAAGACTGTTTGTTTTTTTAACATCTGCGGGCTATTAAAATAAACTGAAATCTAAATAAACTGATTTTTTAAAACTTCAAAGCGAATTTTTTATATATTTTTACGACTTTATTATAAATATATAACGAATCTAGATCAACTTTTATGTATTATTATATAAAAAATAAAAATAAAAATGGTATTAATTCATATACATATTTGATAAAAACCAACAACTTTGATTGCAA